GGACCTGAACCTGAACGTGAGCCAGAAGCAACAGGAAGGCTGTGCCTGTGTCGCTCATCAAGCATCACCACAGAAGCAGATGTGCTGACTATCAAACAGGCTGAACATCACATGCAAAAGGCTCGTTGCTGGTTTTGTACCTGTGTTGAGCACCTTCTTGATCAGCACAGCCACCTGGCCCTTCAACATGGAGTTGAGCAGCTTGACGATGAGGATGAGACAGGTGCAGAGGACGAACAAAGACCCAGCCAGCAGAATGAGGCCCACGGCCAACTCTGACAAGGTCGTATTGGCAAAGATGTGATTACCTGCAAAGGATGGTGAAAGAGACAGACATTTAGCGTAAACTCTGGTAAACCGAGCTCTTGTAAACACTAAGACTTGAGAAAAATTGTAATTGTGAAACAAGCTACACAAGTTTATGATTTTATGTAAATGTAAACAAAAACCTTTCTAAACAAAAACCTCTTCAAGCACCAAACCATTTCATTTAACTGGAAACAGCATGCTTTGAAGAAGTGATCCATTTTATGGTCATGTGACACTTCAGCCAAACAACATGAATGGACCTATTGAGGAGGTAGACGGGTTAAGGGAGAGTATTTGCTGAGTCACTGTAACGTCTCAAAGGTGGTCATTGTCTCAGCTTCGGAGAATCTGGTCTAAAGAGGTCGATGTGGCCGAATGGCTCTCTCATATTTCACCGAGCTTTAGCAGATCAGGTAATCCTAATTGCTTTGTAAATTTTCTTTTCCCCCCCTTCAGAAATGGCATGGATGTATGCTCACATCTCTTTATGTAATTGGTAAAAGTCTCATTCATCTGGGTCCAAGTCTGGTTTCCTTCCTCCCAGCAGATGCCACCTGGTGGGCAGGTGTTCACTGTCACATTCCAGAAAGTCTGAAAGAGAAAGCAGAAAGTATAAGAACAAAAGCAAGCCTCGACGCAGTGGCTACTGTAGCTGTAATCTTTCAGTGACTGCAAGCAGCATTCAACCTCTTTAGAAAGTATGAGCTAACACAAGGCAACATTAGTCATCAAGAGAAAAACCTGATCTAACCACAGCTTTATGTGTGTTTTTACAGTTGTAAATACTAGTTTTGTAACTAGGTCTTGCTGATTTCTTACCGTGTTGGTCTCTGTTTTGCACCATTTTTTAATCAGACTCTTGTTCATGCCAACCGGGTCGTCAATGGCAATTGCAGAGATAACAGATTTGTCGAGCTAAGAGAAGAAACAGTTTTTTTTATCATTTTTAAAAATGGCAATCATACTTGATCTTGATAACATGGCCTTAACATCTTATAGTTACCTGGATGATGGATTTTGTCAGAGGGTCTGTGATGACCTTGAGCAGTTCGGGGGCGTCTTCTCCGGACTCGAGATGAAAAGAATCGATGATGAGTTTGGTGACTTTGTACAGAACGCCTGTGGCAGCTTCCAGCGGCAGAAGAATCAGGACAGAAAGCCAGTTGAAGAAGTCGTGGACTGTAGCACCAGCAAATGCCCTGAAAAACAAGAACACTCGGTCTAACATCTGCTAGAAACAGTTTGTGGAGTTAGTGTAATATCTTTATGTTTGCATGCTGTCGTTTACCTGCGGAACTCATTCCGATCTCCTGCCTGCATCATAGCCACGATAGTGTTGGTGACAGATGTTCCGATGTTGGCTCCCATGATGATTGGCACTGCCATTTTAACTTCCAGTACTGAAAAAGATAATCGACATTTCATTCACGTGTAATAAACTAACACTGCAGTCACTGTTATATAACAGTGACTGCAGTGTTAGTCACTATATACTGTTATATATAAATATCACACATTAAACATTTAGATTGTTTCTCAGAATAAGCATTTTTGAAACTGTCACCTAGAGGTTCTATTGTGAGTTTACGACACATTTGTTTGAGTATACCGGACTGTAAAATGTGTGCACATGCCTCTTCCATGTATTTCTACTTACGTCCAGAGGCGACCATGCTGACCACGATAGAGGAGGAAGTGCTGGAGCTCTGCACCAACACTGTGACTAAAACCCCGATCACCAGCCCCGCCACAGGGTTAGCTAGCACCTCACTGTTTTTGAAGATGTCACCAGCGGCTCGGCCTGTACACACACGCACACACTGAGATAAAAATACAGCTCTCCATGCACATTACATAACCTGGAAGTGGTTCGCTTTTGTTTGCTTATTTATTTATTTGTTTGTTTGTTTGTTTGTTTGTTTGTTTGTTTGTTTGTTTGTTTGTTTGTTTGTTTGTTTTACCTCCCACTAGCTGGAAAGCAGAGCTGAGAACATCAAGTGAGCAAATAAACATGTAGAGAAGTCCAAGCAGCAGAACCAGCTTCACAATACCGGTTAACACTCTTAAAATCTTCCCCTTTGTGTCTAGATCTGTTAGCAAAAAAGACACAAAGCACTGAATCAGTCTGGCATTGTGAAGAGATCCACGCTGTATAGAGCAGTCGCAAAAGCGTGCTGCCTTACCTGACCACTTGACCCCAGTGTCTTTCAGCTCTGGGAGATCCCAGGGATCCTCCGCAGCCTCCTCATTCTCCTTCACCAGGACCAGAGTGGAGTAAGCCGGTGGGAGACGCTCTTCTTTAGACAGAGACTTCTCATCTAAGGGAGGGATTGTGGGGGAAATTGTGAGAAACTAAAGTTGCAATAACAGTTTGAGGAGGTCAAAAGTATCCACAAGAAAAGGACATACCGATAGAGGAGGAGTTATCTCCCTCTACTTCTGGTCTAGGAGCCATGACTATCTGAGAAACAGAAAGAAGGCAAGAGTTTCAATAGTTTTAGTGTTTGTCTGTATTATTCACCTTTTCAAAAATAAAATGACTATCCCCCAAAAACAATCTATCACACTTTTTACTCTGTCCACTAAGCAGCTGTGCAATAGTCAGCGTAATCCAAGATGAAATTCTAGCTTTACCACATCTGTATCTGCTCAGCAGTTGATCATAATTAAGACAACAAAGAAACACAATAGTGGTAGCACTGTTACACCCGTGAAAGACAATCAGCAATAACATCTGTCCAAATAGCGGATATTTTTAACGCAAGCCACTGAATCCTCCAGCTGTCTCTCGCAAATATCCTCAAGATTGCAGGTGGCCTCGGTCCTGTCGAGAAAGATAAGGATGGCAGCCGGTGTACGCACCTGCAGCGGAGCGCTTTTGTGTCCAGATCTGTGAGAGGGGAGCAGGAGGCTTCACCTGAGTTACCTGTTGCTCACTCCGAGGCTGAGTGCTGCTTTTATAGCGCCGCGCGGAGAGCACACCCGCACACCCGGTGCTGACAGTTCAAAGATCACGCACACATGTGCAGCAGGCATGCTGCATCTGCAGGCGGGGGCAGATAAACCCAGTTAGACATGACTTGAATTTCTGAGGGACTAAAAACTAAGACTGGCACATTTCACGATTTTCAACGGGGGAAAGATGGATTTTTTTTTTTGGTGTTAATTTGTCTATTTTTTACTCGTATTTCTAAAGAAAGTTTTTTTTAATGACCTTGTTTTTTTGTTTTTTTTTGACAATGTCTACTATTAACCGTCTACTGAACTTATAGCAAAACAAACACGCAAACAAACAAACAAACAAACAAACAAAAAGTTTCCACCTGTCTTCAGTCTGTGGGCTGGGGTACAGGTGTAACGAACTCAAACATGCTCCCCCTGGTGGCATGAAATGGCAATTCTTCTTATATGGCAATAAAAGCAAGTTAAGTTTCAAAATTCCATCTGGAATTTTGTCTTTTTGATAATTTATTTTAACATTAGGTGGTTTCATCATTCTTCAGATAAACCAATTATTTATGTGAAAATTTGTCATTGTGTTGATCCCCTGGTCTTTCCACGATGTCATGCACTGTGTCGTTAAATATTTCACTATATTAAAGGATTACTGGCTGTAACACACTGATCTTATTTCAGTTTAAACCAACAGCGACTGATCGCAACTGTACTTGTAACATAAACAGAACTTAAAACAAGTAATATTAAATATAACTGTAATTGCATGCATTATCTGCATCCACAAAAGCCCAAGCATTTGTCTGCACACACTCATACGCTCATGCCACCCACTCAGCCACGCACAGGTTTACAGCTTCTTAGATAACACACACACACACACACACACACACACACACACACACACACACACACACACACACACACACACACACACAGTCTTTTACCTGCCTGTCTTTATTGGTCACTACATTAATCTGAGATTATAGTGAGAGATATGTCAGAGATAGGATTTTAACGATGCACTGCATTATAATAACTGGTGTGAATATGAGCAAATGATTAACCAACAATCATGTTACAGTTACTCCCACCATGCAATAAAATAATAACTACCTAGCTTGTAAAAAAAAGGGTTCACTGAGTTGATGCTAAGAGTCAGCCCTAGAGATCTTAGTTTATTTAAATAAATTTCCAGTAATCTGAACAAAATTCCTAGTGGTAATTATTGCCCAGCTTGTTATTGTTGGTTTAGATTTTACCGTGGAAAATCCAGGAGCAGTTGCTGATTTTCTGGTAAATTTTGGACTGGCTTGTTTTGCTTAGGTGATTGTGTTTTCTTTTGAGACTGAACTTTACTCCCTGAAAATGAATTTCAAAGGTTCCCTTAAGAGTTTGTTATTTGTAAAATCCGGTTTGGTTACTGGTTAGTCTTCCATCTAGATTTGGATCCCTTTAGATGTTTGGCAGCACCTGTTTAACAGTGTGTCTAGCTCGTCTTCTGCACTTTTAAAAAGTTTTAAATGTACTATGGAAAAAAAATGTGTTGGTTGACGTCACGTACAATAAACCCATTCATTTGTTAGTTAAATTTAATTCGATTACATCAGCTCAGTTTTTTCCCTTTTAATTAAATTCAAGCCTTTTATTTAAGGAGGTAGAGCCAAATTTCTTTGAATTTACCCTACACAGGTTAAAAATGTATGTAGAACAAAATGAAATCTTGTTGAACGACTCTTGTATAATGAACTAATATATGGTTTGATGGTTTTATCATTGCATGTTTCAAAATAAATATAAATAAATA